AGAATGATTCATATGATTGCTTGGAATGAAGTTTGCAAGCCTAAGAAAGTGGGAGGGCTTGGGATTTTTAACATGAATTTTTTAAGGTTTGCTTTTAACTATTCTCTTATTTGGAGGATTGTTAATAATCTGAGCCTGCTTGCGGTTTGGGTTAAATTTAAGTATATCTCTTGTTTGAAGCTTTGCTCTCCTAAAGATTCTAAATTTTGGAAAGATCTTTGTGTTATTGCTAGTGATATTAAAAATAATATATCTTTTAATTTGGTAGAATCAAGTATGCTATCTCTTTTTTGGGATCCTTGGATTAATGGGAAGGCTTTGCAGGAACTTCTTTCTTCTTATGAGGATTCTCTTTTACATAATAAGAAGGGGGGTGATTGGGATTTATAATAGTATGCGGGTTATTCCCAATCATATTCCGGATATTATTGCTCATGAGATTTTGAAAATTCCGATTGTTAATCTGGTTTCTTCTTCGATCTCTTGGAACAAGGTTAATTTTCCTATTTTTAAGAATTTTTATTCTTTCTTCTTTATTAATATTAATATGGTTGATTGGTTTAATTATGTTTGGCATAAGAAATATGCTTTAAGATTCTCTTGTTTTGCTTGGATGACTATGTTGAATGGATTAAAAATGGCGAATCTTTTGATTAAAGGAACGTTATTGTGCCAGATAACTGTATCCTTTGTAATAGTGGGATTGACATTTATTTTTTTGAATGTGATTTTTCCTGCTATATTATTTCTATGTTTGTGCCTAATATTAATTTATTTATGCTTAGACCTAATTTAATTCAAACTTTCAAATTTATTTGGAATTCGAATTGGAATATTGATGCTAAAAGTCTTTACTTTCTTTATACTTGTTGTACGCTTTATTTTATTTGGAAAGAAAGAAATTATAGAAAAATGGATAATAAATTCAACACTCAGGATTATATCTATAATCGAATTAGGTTTGCGGTTCAAGCTAAAGTTTTTAATTGGGCTTCTTTGCCCAAAATTTAGCACGGGATTATATAGATGTGGTGGTTTGAGTGTTTTTTGGACTGTGATGTTTGGGCATTTTCATATTTTTTTTTTTCTTTTGAATGGCTAGTTTAGCAACCAGCTTTTGCTGGAAGGTTAATCTAGTAACCATTAAGGTGGATAGTTTATTAAAAATATGATAGTTTTCCCTTTAGATGAGTCCGGGGTCTTTTGGCCCTTTATTTTGAAGTTATTTCTTCCTCTGATAGTGTTGGGAGGTTGTTGTATGCAGGAGAATTGGGATTATTTTTTGTTCCTGCTTACTCGGTTTGGTGTTTGAGGTTCTAGAAAGTTGGTTCCTTTGACCTGTTTTGGCTGGTGTAATAGTTCTCTTGATTATTGGTTGGAGGGTTTGCTTCTGGAGGATCCTCTACATTGCTTATTCTGGGAAGTTTGGTTTTGACTGGCTGGAGTGTATTTTTTTTCTTTTTTTTCCCTCTTATACTGTTGGTTGATTTTTACGTGCAGGAGGTTTGGAATGTTTTGGTCAGGCTTCCTCAGTCAGGCATCCTCAGGTTAAGAGTTGTTTTGGCTGGTTGGAATACTTGCTTGCTTTTCAGGAGATCTAGTCTTGCTATTCTTTGGAGCTCGCTAGGTTCTTTTGGAGGGCCTCCTTGCATTTTTGGGGGATCTTGTTTGGAGATAACCGTCTACCTTTTGATTCGGCTGATTGTTTAAGTTTTTCTGAGGTTTCTTTTGCTGTTAGCCTTGGGTTGATCCTTTTTGGGGTTATTGTTATATCTTCTTATGGATTTTTTTTTTCTTTAGTTCTTTTTTAGAACTTTGTTGTTTGGTGTCTCCTGCTTTAAGGAGGCTTTAGGTCTAGTTTATTTCTTTGATCTTGTTAGTTATTTTCTTTCTTTTCTTCTGTGTTTTCATTGTAACCTTTCTCTTTGTGGAATAAAATTGGGCATGTATGCCCCTATTTTTCCAAAAAAAAAAAGTTAATAAAGAGTGGGGCCCAAACCTAAAAAAATAAGAAATAACTGCAGCCGACGATTGCCAGCTACTTAGAACAAAGTGCCCAAAGTGCGCGTGAAAAGTTTCCTTAATTTATGTCCATCATATTAATATCTCTTTCACTCAAATGTGGGAAGTGGGGCCCTCACAATTTATTGATCACGTTGAAGTCTATATATGCTTCCTATAAATCACAATATAGTGTAATATGCTAACTTAGGTTTTATTTGATATTTCTACGCAAAGGTTTTTATAATATTATAATTTTTTTTATATTAGATGGTGTGTAAAAAATCAATATTTTACAAGCTATCTTCTCTATGATTTAAGAGAACGTGTTGATGGCTTTCTTTCATGCACTATGAGAAAATCACACTATTGACATGATTATACCATACAAATTATTGTCATATTTTTTGTTTCACTTTTTTAATACTTAGTTTTTAGAAATATGTTGAGAAAAATATTATTTTATGTATTTTTTTCTATCATTTAATAAACAAGTGACTTGATCTATAAGAAAAAGTTTATATTTTTATGTAACAAATGCAATAAATTTTTGTGAGAAATATATATATAACATTCAAATATATACGCTAATGAAACTAACACTCATGTTATTCATTTCAACTATCGAATGTGTATTTGCACGTGGCAGACAATCCAAATAAGATGTTTTTGGGATCCCCAAAACACTTTTTCGACATTTCGGATCTAATTTTAACACTTTCGGAACTTAACGAAACTTTCATGTCAAATTTGAGCAAATTTTAATTTTTTGGAATGCAATTTTTTGCGATTCAACTAATTTAAAATGTTATAATATATATTTTTGGACTCTACAGGCCTTGACGTCCGAAAATAGGGGGCCAGCTGATATATCATCCAAAAATCATGTTGATCCGGCACAATCTTGAAGCAAAATCAAGATTAAAAACTTCAAAAATTAAATTAGAGACCATATGAACTCCAATTTCAACAAGCTTACAGTCAAACTGAACTTCACGGAAATGCGAATTAGTCTCATGCTGAAAACATTTTCTAGCTCTGTCACTGTCTAAAAATATGTAAAACCACATAGTGAGTTAACAGCTCAGCAGGTTATTAAAATCAATAGCTAAAATTAATGCAAGGCAATATGTTAAACAGTATGCATATAATCATTAAATTACTATCAGCACGAACATATAATTGTAAGAGCATAAGAATCAATGAAATAGTAACAAATCATATGATCAATAAACCTCAATACAATTGTATATCTTAAGAATAATGATCAGTAAGTTCTGTCAATCCTATATCTAGTTGTTACAAAATAGTTTATATAACATTTTATTATATCAGTACACCTGTAATTATCATATGCATGTCGTACAATATTTATGATATGCATGTATATCATGTAAATCATGTGATTTATATATATCAAAACATTGAAATCAGAGATAGGAAAATGGTAGCTTACCTCGAGACAAACAATTTTTTCTATTGGATCAACTGATAAAAATGGCTTTACGACTCCCAAATCGTAGGTTTCTCTCTCATCTCTCCTCTCTTTCTTTTTCAAATTCGATTTTTGTTTCTCTGGTTTGGAAAAACGAATGAAAATGGCATAAAGCTTTTAGAAACTAAAATCTTGATGAGACAAAAAATTTAAGATTTGTTTTCGTAAGTATTTTAACCATACAATATATATATTTTAATAAAAATCAAGGCATTATCATATAATATATTTTTAGGTATATTAATACCTTAATTGTATCAAACACTACATGAAAACCCGCTATTACCGGCGGATTATATCCGCCGGTAACATGTGAAATCCGACGGAATTCTGGGTTTCCGGCACACTTTCCGGCGAAATTTCGTGCGCCGGTTTGGTTCGTGTCGTAAAAGGACTTCCGACGTAAATTAATCCACCGGAAATGTTTCCGGCGGATTTCTTACGAAATTTGTTCGGGTAAAATTTGTCGGAAAACCAGTCAAAAATTATGTCGGAAATTCGTTGAAAAAAATCCGTCGGAAATTTGTGACGAATTTACTTCCACCGAAAATTCTGTCGGAAATGAGCTATTTTTCTGTAGTGAAATGTCAATAAGCTTGGGCTCTTCCAGTATATTATTTTAATTATAAACATGCAAGATTTATAGGTCTTTTAGGTTTTCAAATAATTCGTGATATTTCAAATTATATATATTTTTTGTTTGTTTAATTTAAATTTCATTTGGGATAACTTTTTTTCTGTTTTAAGAAGCAGTAAGAAAGCCGTCAGACAAATTTGAACTGTGATCAATATATTTCTATTATTATTAGATTCACCTCATCAAAATGCTCATTTTCAATCGATCTTCATTGGAAATAAAGTTTATATGGTCATTCAATCAATCATAAAAGCTTATGACATTAATATTTTGATGCTTTAAAAGGTACAAAATTTACGTCAAGATTTGTGTTAAATTAGATGAATTTTATGGTGACATATAAAATCTCGTAATATTTCAAAAAAAAATAAATTTAAATTAAGAAATTTTAAATATAAAATTGATAACATTGCACTCTTTTTAAAGTCATCAAAACGAAATCCTAACTATTACAAATGATCTGAAATCTGGCCGCGTGGCCTAATGGATAAGGCGCTCGCCTCCGGAGCGGGAGATTGTGGGTTCGAGTCCCACCGTGGTCGAGCTTTTGCAGTTAAAAACCCTTCTTTATTATTTTAATGATTTTTTACTTTGCATTAATAAACTTTTTAACATTTTTTTAATTTATTAATATTCTTTTTTGACATTTGTTATAATTTGCTTCACAATACTAAATTTTTTAATATTTTTTTATTATTTATTGTATATTTGTATTCATGTTTTGAATCCAATAAATTTATTAAAAAAAAGAAAATTTATTAACCATTTTTGTCACATTAATTTGAATAAATGAAACAAATCTATAACTCAAATTACTTTTCTCTACCAGAACTATAAATTACTCAAAGGGATTTACACTTAAATCATTCAAATTTCAGGAAATCCTTCCAACTCTCCAGCTTCAAAGATCCTCAGCCAAAAGCTCATGTCCTCCTCAATGGGTGAACCAGCCACCATTAATGGTGAATCATCACAGCCATTCATGGACAAGCTCTCATCAATCTCTTCAACCCCAAGATCATGTCTTGATTCCAGTGATCCATCATTTCCACTTGCATTGTTACTATCCCCCTCTGTAACATTTGATGATTCAGTGCATGAGGAGGAGAAATCACTGCATGATTCCGACACCGATGCCGAAGAGAACTCCATGATTGAGTTTAAGTTATCTTGTCTTTGCATCTTCCTCTTGGATTTTGGGAGAATTTGATTTGGATTCAACCTTTTCTTCAGGTGTGTGTTCCAGACGTTCTTGATCTCGTTGTCTGTTCTGCCTGGCAACATCATTGCGATTGCAGACCATCTGCGTCGAAAATTACAAAAAAGTCTAATGAGAAAGGTACTTATAGAAGCTATGTTAAGGTTAAATGTTGTCAGTATGGCAAGAGATTATTACATGTGGAGTTTAGATCGAAGCTACATCCGATTTTTATGAATGTGAACAGTAAAAACGTAATAAAAGCTCAGTGATGAACAGTAACTATGCTCTTACTACGCACACTCATAAAAATCGGATGATTCTCCGATCTGGACTCCGCATGTAATAATCTCTCCATTTTTTTTTTCTTTATTTTACTATAATATTATTCTATATTGTTATTTTAACATAGAGCAAATATATAAAAATGTATAATAAAAGAGACCAAAATTACATAGATCAGCACATAAAGAGAACCATGTGATACATTCATCTAATAAAAAGAATGTCACTATTACTATTTTTAAAATTTTCCTTTTATTGAATCTTATTTGATAAAATAATTTTTTGGCTTTAAAATTCTTGGATCTGCTTTGAGCTGAGTGCAATACAAATTACTTATATATTACGCTCATCTCAAAAATAGATCCAACGACTTCAAAGCTTATTCTAATTTTCTTTTTTTTTTTTAAAAAAAATCTTATCATAAATTGTGTTTCAGTAAAAAAAACTCTAAAAAATAGTGAAATATCTATATTTCAAATGAGGCAAGAAAAAAAAAAAGAAAAAAACCTAAATTTCTAAAATTTATATAATTATAAGAAATCTTCAAGATCAAGGAAATTAAACACTATTTCAAGCTCATCCTCTACCTAAAAATAAAATAAATAAATAAATAAATACAAACAAGAAGTATGTATATCTACCTGTTTCCTAGCATCTGATGCAAGCTGATAATTGCATCCTCTTCTTCCTTTGTAAAGTTCCCTCTTTTTATCCCAGGCCTTAGATAATTTATCCATCTGAGTCTGCAACTCTTCCCACACCTCAAAAGACCTATTAAACCAAAATATATCATATAATATGATCAACACAAAGTTCTTTCTTCCATTACTTAAAATCAAACAAAGAACAAATAGATTCAAGTTACCAGCTTCTTTTGGAAGAGCTCTCCAGTTTTCATGTCCATAATTCTGTATATATGAAACCAGAATTTCATCTTCTTCTGGAGTCCATTGCCCCTTATTCAGTCCAACCTTTTCACAGCAAGGAGCTCTCACCATTTTCGCTCTGATAAATTGAAGGAAGAGATCGAAGCTTTTGAAGGCCATTCATGGCGTTGTAAGCTATTTATATAATAGAAGAACTGAAGAAGAGAGGAAAGGAGACTGATAAACGTGTGGAAATGAAGGATAAAGAAAGGAGTTTTGGCAGGTTCAAGGAAGAAGAGTTATGCTTGATAGCTATGTGTTATTGGTTCAAACTGCAATAATTTGATACTTTGCACTAGAGGGAGGTTTACTTGGCCAGCACTGGATTCAATTTTTAAAGGGTGATTTACATATTAATCCCATAAGTTTTATCTATTTACAAATCTAGTATCTAAATTTTAATATTTATTTATATAATATTTAAATATTTAAATCTCATTAAAATTAAAATTATTATTATTTTATAAAATATTGATGTGACTGAGATATTAAAATATTATATAAGTAAATATTAAAATTTAGATACCAAGCATAACTCTTGATATTTAGAAACTTTCTAATACCAAATTTTTTTAAATTAGAAATTTTGTACTAAAAAATTACTTTAGAAAACAATAAGAAAGTTATCACAAACGAAGTCTTAAGTAAAAAAAAAAAAAAAAATCATATTGAACGAAGCCTTACGAATATTTCGAAAAGAAGAAATGAGAAAGAAGGAAAAAGTTATTCATTATTATTCACGACTTCCCTCTCCCAAAATAGTTTATTCAAATAATACAAATCTAATTCCCTAACTAATCATCCTAATCACCACTAATTACAAGAATAATTTAGATACTAATCATTGACTCAAAGCAATACTAATTAGCTAGCTTTTAACTAATTACACCTTAAAAGATGATTAGAAATCATAATGTAATAATGGATAATAATTAATAATTTCTTCCTTGAAACTCTTACAGCTTTGAGAAAAATGTTGAAAAGCTCTGATACTCAAGCCTGTGAAGATTCATCATGTTGGTCTAACATATAAAACTAAGCTGCTTTTTTGAATTAAGTAATAGTTTATAGTAAGCCATCTCTTTCAAGTTAGTGTTTGGTTGTATATTATTAAGATTATTTAAAAAAAAAATAGTTAATGATCATTGCTTGGGTCATGACTGACATCATTTAATTATTTTAAAAAAAATATTCCTATTTTATTTTTATTTGCAAATAAAGTACAAATATTGTTGACTATATGTTGGAAAACTAGGAACATTAATGTTAACCTATTACGAATTTGAATACCACCTCTAAAGTAAAAAAAAAATTATTTTTTTTTTGTTAATTTAAGAGAATAATGCCAATAATTTGCAAAACTCTGGTTATTTTTTTAAGTGACATATTACTAAAATAATTAACATTATGAATAGTAGAATGATTGTTTTTGATACATCAACAAAAAATTATATTGATCGGGAAAAATCAAGTGGGAAACTTCTAAAATTAAAATTATAGTCAAATTAGCAAACTTATAGTCAAACTGAACATCTCGAGAACACGAACCCAACAACACAAAATCCAACCCAATCCGAGCCCAAATGAGTCCAAATCAAGGGTTAAAAGCGCTGTTGGAAGGTTTGAACCACAATTTAGATTACTAAACGGTTTACAAACATAACATGCTTATAATCGAACCGAGCGGCTCAACGAAACGAATCCAACGAGCCCAAGATCACCAAATTCCAACATCACTAAGACATTCAAATGTCCATCAAACGGTCCTTGATCAAGGGATTCAACATCGGCCGTCCATCCAACCACTCCCCATTTACACCCTTGATCTCTCACCTATTTATGATCCATGTCACTTCAGAAATCTATAAATAGAGCCCTCCTTTCTCTTGAAAAGGACCCCAAGCTAAAGGATTCAAAGAGTGAGATTGAAGATCACTCTTTCCATCTTGCTCCTCCTCGGCCACCGCCTAAGTTCCGCCGCACCACCACTTGAGGAACTCACCTTTGCTGAACCACTACTTGAGGCCCTCGCCTTCGCTGGACCATCACTTGAGGCCCTCACCCTTGCCGGATTACCACTTGAGGCCCTCACCCTCGTCGGACCACCACTTGAGGCCTTCATCTTCGTCGTACCATCACTTGAGGCCCTCACCTTTGTCGGACCACCACTTGAGACCCTCACCTTCGCCCGACCACCACTTGAGGCCCTCACCTTCACTGGACCATCACTTGAGGCCCTCACCCTTGTGTGACCACCACTTGAGGCCCTCACCTTCGTTGGACCACCACTTGAGGCATTGAACTCCGCCAGACAATCAACCGACGCCAGAGTTCCACCAAGTCACTACCGAACTATTAACTGAAGCCCTAACTTCCAAGTGACACCAGATTTGATATTAGACTTCAACCATACGGTTGACATTTGTAATCTGATCGCCCTCAAGGACGAGTCAACCCATTATGCTCAACTAAAATTATAGTGAAATATTTTCAACTGGGCTAGGCCCCATTGTTTTTCCCCTTTCCAAGTGTTTCCACGTAAAAAAATTTGTGTTCTTTGTGTGTGAGTTGGATATTCGTGCAACACTAAAATAATGTAGAATTAAAACTCTATCGCCATGTATATTCTAGCCCGCAACGATTTTAATATTTTATTCTACAACAAAGTCCAATTTAACTAAAATAACATGTTATTATTTTATTCATTTTGGTATAATTAACTTCTCGTTAAATAATAGATCTTAAGAATATCAAAGGACCATTAGATTTGAAGTAAAAGAAGTGTAACGTATTCCGAATAGAGATATTTCAATATATTTATATTTGATTTGAAGTAAAAAAAATGTAGAGTGAAATGTTAAAGTATTTGGAATTCACATTCTAGTTCAATTTTGACGTGTTTAGAAATCGTTGGATTTGGCTGATTTCGAAATATAATGTAAATTCCAAGGTATTGCCATTGCAAGCCATCGCCGCCCATTGTCGACCTCCACCATTACTAGCATGCCACCGTTACCACTGTCACAAGCCGTATTGTAGCCGCCTATTGGTCACCAGCCACAATCATGTTGGCATTACAGGAAAACACGCTGTTACCGGTGGACAGTATCAGCCGGTACACCCTAATATCTGATGGAAATCCTCGGTTTCCAGCGCATTTCCGTCGGATTTTCCTGTGCCGATTTGGCGTGCGTCGCTAAATGTCTTCCGACATTTTGTAATGCGCCGGAAACTATTCTGGCGCAAAATGTGATATAAAAGACAGCGATTTTCAATCGATAATTTCGACGCCTAAGGCGTCGGTAGTTTACGTCGTATGTATGCGACAGAAACTACCGGTGCATAAACCGTCGTAGGTGCGCCGTAAATAAGCAACGGCTAAATTCCGGTGCCAAAGTAGCGTCTGAAATCTCCGGCGGACTAGACGCTATAAAATGCGCCGGTAATCTCCGGCGCACATAAAAACGCCGGCATGATCGATCCGGTTCTAGGTGCACTAGATTTTTATATTTAGAACATGGACATTGAAACTTTCCTTCTGATATGAAGCTTGGTAGTTGTTTCGCTTGCTGAATGAAAATGTTCACCCTATTAATGAATTCATCTGTTAATGTCTTTCGTCCTTGAGATAATCGGTTATACATCCAACTTTTTTGATTTCTAATATTCATAACCTACATATAAGAGCAAAGTCATAGGTGATTCAATGCAAGGAAGTCATTAAGGTGATTGTATACAAAATTATGAACAGTTTGTATCATATCTAAAAGGGTCAAGCCACTCATCCACCGAAGCATCTCATCTCGGCAACACTTAACTCATTCTACATCATAAAGCATTACAAAGTCTCACAACCATCTAAGACGTGTACTCTTATTAATGACTTGATCATCATACCCAAAATCACAATCCTCTTACAAGTGTCTTATCAACAAAAAGAATATCATTATCAAAAAACATACACCAAGGTACATCCTCTTGCAAATGTCTAGTGAGAACATCCATGGCTAAAGAAAAAAAGATATGGACTTAGGGCTGATCCTTGATGTAATCCAATCGAAATAGGAAAATACTTTGTCAAACCACCTTGTGTTTGAACACAAGTACTAGCTCCTGCATACATATCTTTAATGATTGGAATATAATTGTTATTAACTCCTTTCTTTTCAAGAACTCTTCATAGCACTTTTCTTGAAACTTTATCATATATTTATAACTTCCATAGTAGACCTACCCGGCATGAATCCAAATTGATTTTGAATAGTTTAGAAACAAAAAAAAACATTGAATATAAGCGTTAGTAAGTTTTTTTTTTTTTTGGCAAGAACTCTCAATAGCACTACTCTTGAAACCTTTATCATATTTTTTATCTAAATCAACAAAAATCATATGTAGATCCTCCTTACTCTCTCTATATTTCTCCATCAAACCTCTCAAAAAAGTATGGCTTCCATAATAGAAGTACCCGGCATGAATCCAAATTGATTTTGCAAAAAATTTCAACATAAAACATCTACAATTTGAATCCTAAATCAAATTTAAAGGAATTACATGAAAAAAAATTAAGGCAGGCGACGGGAGGGAGGGAGGCAGAAACTCACGATCAAAAAGCTTGCTTTCCCCGGCCACTAATGCAGTGATCGTCGGCGACGTCCGGTGATCGTCAACACAAGTCGGCGACGTCGATCTACGGCGAGCGACGGAGGGCAACGAGGGAGAGAAAGAAGTTGTGAGAGAAACGAACGAAAGAAATGAGCAGCGGTCGGGGTCGGGTTCAGAAATAGGGTTTCCGCCGACGGATTTTCCGGCGTCCTAGACGCCGGAAAAATTTCCGGCGCATTATACGCTGGTCTTAAGTCGTTGAGTTTAAATACGCCAGCGCATTGTCCGACGGTAACTACGCCGGTAACATTTCCGCTGTAAAGTGCGCCGAAAAAAATAAAAAGAAGGTATATTCTGACGTATGTACCGGCGCAATATACGCCGGCGCCGAGTTACCAGCGGAAGTTGCGCCGGAAATAACGCAGTAGATTTTCCTGCGTACAATGCGCCGCTGCAGGCGCCGTGTGTTCCGACGCAACTTTGTCCGCTGGAAAAATCCGCCGGTAAACT